GCATGTCCCCACGTGCTGTGTCTTCCATCGTTCTCCACCTTGCATACATGCAGTCGCTGCACCTGCCTGCAATCTCATGCACGTGCATGCGTACCCATGCCCACACGTGCATTTTTTTTTTTTTTTTTTTTTTTTTTTTGGGACATAATACACTATACAATGCATCACATCCACAGTCGTAACTGAGAAAAGAGGAAGACACAGGCCACTCTGATACGGTTTGCACTGTCCTCCCTATTGACCCTTTACGGAGGCTTAAAAAAGGTACTAGGCCTCTCCCATATCGAGCTAAATGCTTTGTTCCACGTCAGACATTCGTCCTGCTCACAGATGCGGCTCAGCGCTGCCGCCTCTCCAGCTGACAGGTGTTGTCCTCCTCCAACTCCCCCCCCCATGTGTCCCTTTTTTCCGCCGCTCCCCTCACTGTAGATCCGCACATGCCTCCTGAAATTGGCCCCAATCTTCCTGGCCACCCGTCTGGGTTCAAAAGTTTTCTGTCGGAAGACCGCGTCACATCTTTCCAGCCAAATGTGTCTGAACGTGATCGCAACGAGCGTGGATTCCGGAAATCCGGATGATGTGCTGTCTTCAGCGAATAGCAACTCTCCCAGTGTTCCAACCGCTCTGGTTGGGTTAATCAGACGAAGCGAGTCCTGAAGCGCGCCACATATTCCCATAACCACCGGGCAGCTCATCAGACAATGCGTTGGCGTCTCCTCCTGCTTGCAGTATGGGCAGCATGCACGGGAACCGAAGAAAGCCAGCCTGCTGCCCACTTGCAAATTGTAACTGTGAAGCCTCAACAGTACCTCTCTTGCTTTGGCTGGGATCACCAGCGAGTCTCTTTTCGCGATGGCACCACACGTGCATGCATGCATGCACCCCCGCCTCTCCCCTTCCCCCCGCATGCAGAAGAAGGGGCTGTTCTTCATCAAGGCGCTCATCCTGCCCAAGCAGGAGTCCACCTCTGACTCCGTGCGTGCCCCCTCCCTCCCTCGCGCTGCCTCCCCCCCCACCCACACGGTCACACCTATGCTTCCACCCGCCTGCATTCTCGTCCACTGCGCTATTTCCCTGCCATGCCCATGCAATATTCACTCTCACGCACACACCACTCTCATCTCTTCCACTGCCATCTTCTCGTTCGCAATTCCTTCCCTCCTGCCTCCTCATCTCCTCGCGCCCTAATCCCCTTCACTGGCCCACCTACCCCCTCTCCCACCGGCCTGCCTCCCTCCGCTCGTGGGTGTGTGACTACGCGCAGTGTTCCACGTTGAACGAGGAGGAGATATTTGAGGCGCAGGACAAGCGAGGCCTCTTCCAGCTCGGCTGGATCCATGTCAGTGCTGCCGCCGCTCTCCCTTTCCACCACCCCCTTACCTCCTCGCCTTGCTCTCTCTTCTGCCCCACTCTTCCTCCTGTTCCTGTTCCTCCCACCCTCCCTATCCTGCTCTATTTCCCTTCCTCCTCCCCACCGCCGCCACTCTGCCACACCTTCATTAATACCTCGCACTCTCTGCATCCCATCCTGTTCCCACCGTGTCCCCTGTCCTCGCCTCACATCAGACACACCCTTCACAGGCGTGTTTCATGTCATCCATCGACCTGCACACACACTACTCCTACCAGGTGACGAGCCCTTCTGTACACTCATAGCTCTTGCTCTCGCCATCGAAACCTCCCTCGTTCCTTCATTCTGCAGTGCTTGCGATGCTTCCACTTTGTTCTTGCCTTGTCGTTCTTCGCAATGTTCCTGCCATACATTGTGATGGTTTCTCCCCATTGCCGTCCGACCCTGCCACCCACCTTTTCCAGATGCCACTCCTCTCAGCTTGACCTATCACCCCCGCCGCTCCTCGCCTCGCCCTCTCCCCTCGTATCTCTACCCGCCCGTCCTCTCTCCTCCCACCCCCCCCCCCCTGCTATGCATCAGGTGATGCTCCCGGAAGCCATTGCCATAGTCATGGCTCCCAAGGACCCATCCCGGTATGCCCTCCCTCTCCCTGCTGCTCTCGCCCACCTCACGTTGGCACTAAGCTAGAGAGTTATTTCGTTCCAGCCCCTCCTGCGCTGGCAGGCTTCCTTCACAACAACACACTTGCACGTGCCTGTCCCCGTCTGCCTGTCGAACTAGTCCGCTCTGTCAACTATTCTCTTACTCTTTCCCACCTCTCTCCCGCATGCTCTCGTCCACTCTTCACCTACACCCACACGTATCACACCTCTCGCCCAGCTGCAGCAGTCGTCTACACCTCTCAAACTCCCCCCTCCATAAACCAATCCGCACTCCCATTTCTATCCCTCCCTACCCTCCCCTTCTAACACCCCCATCTTCCGAACCCTTCTTCCCCCACCTCCTCCCCCTTCCACAGCCCATTCGGCATATTCCAGCTGTCGCAGCCAGGGGGCGTGAAGGTGATACAGAACTGCCAGCAGAGGGGCTTCCACACACACGAGGCACCGGCGGATGGCACTCCGCTCTACTCCCACTCCTCCCATGTCTTCTTCAACCCCCGCATCGACTACGAGGTGCTCGACCTGCGCTGACTTTTGAGTCGACTCAAAAGGCAGACGGGAGACCGCTCTACTCCCACTCCTCACATGTCTTCTTCAACCCCCGCATTGACTACGAGCAGCATGGAAGGGGGGATTCAGTGGGGGGAGAGCATGGTCTGGGTGGGGAAGGAAGGCCTGCTTGAAGAGGTGGCGCAGTGTGTGAAGGGAGGCAGGCAATGAGAGTGCAGGGAGGATGGGTAGAGGCTGCGCAGCAATGTGAGCATGAGTGGCGGGATCTTTTAGAGGCTAGAGCATGCTTGGCTTGATGCATACCAGTTGAAAGTAGCTACTAGATAGTAGTGTTACTAAATGGACTGGTCGTTGCTGTGTATAGGTACTGTATTAACAATGCATAGACGGTTATTATTTCTCTAACTGATTGAACATGGTACACGACAGTTACCACTGCGCATGTACCGTATACGCCACCTATGACTGCATCTACACAGGGTGTGAATGCCCCTTACTGGAGCAGTGCAGGCTTAAACACCCACCCACCCCTCCCACCGCAGTGTGTGGAGCATCACCTGCATATCCTCACACCTGTATGTCCCCCCCACCCCCCATCCCCCACCCCCCATCCCCCACCCCCCATCCCCCATCCCCCATCCCTCACCCCTCATCTCCCACCCCTTATCACCTGCACATCCTCACTGGTAAGTCTCATGCAGGTCATCCCACGCCACCGCCCTCACCCAAACCCGCTCCTGCATCACCTTGAGTAACTCTGGCAGCGCCTGGCGGTTGCACCCGTGACCCATGCGGACAGAGGAGTGCAGGGAGCGCAGCACCGTGACGTGACGCCTCACCCAAACCCGCTCTGTCATCACCTTGGGGAGGAACTCTGGCAGCGCGTGCCGGTTGCACGCACCCATGAGCCATGCGGACAGAGGAGTGCAGGGAGCGCAGCACTGTGAGCCCCCCTCAGGCTCAAGCCCCCAACCCAAACCCTCGCACCCCCAGGGCCCGCTTCTTCCTCCCTCCTACCGCGCTGTGAGGTGCATCACCTGCACGTCCTCACTCACTCACACCGGTACGTCTCCCCACAACAACCAATCCCCAATGCCGCCGCCTTCCGCATTCCTCATCCTCCACCCCTCCGAGGCCCCCATTATCTCTCCTACCGCGGTGTGAGGAGCATCACCTGCACGTCCTCACACCGGTACGTCTCATCCAGGTCCTCCCACGCCACTGCCTTCACCCGAAACCGCTCCCCCGCCAGCCTGAGGAACTCCGGCAGCGCCTGGCGGTTGCGGCCGTGGGCAAGGAGCACGGAGGAGTGCGGGGCGCAGAGCATGGCGAGCGTGGTTACAAGCGGTGGCACTGCCCCATGGTCGTACACCACGTCTGTTGCTACTATAAGGTCGAACGTTGCCGGGTGAGAGGAGGGATTGGGGGGGGTTGCTGGTGTGGTGGCGGTGGTGTGGGGTTGTGTGTTGGTAGATCTGGGGGATGGATTCGGACAGGAAATGGTTGGTTCATGGGATGTGGAGCAGGGAGTGGGGGAAGCAGAGGAGGAGGAGGCGGAGGCGGGTACTGAGAGTGCGCAAGCGTCCTGAGTGTTCCCCCAGCGCAGCGGCTGCACGTGCACGGCGTGGTGCAGTGCATTAGCCTGCACGTTGCGGTGCAGCAGCGGCAGGTTGCCTGGCATGTCCGTCACCACCACTGTACGTGCTCCCAGCACTGCTAGCGTTGTGCCTGCGGGAGGTGGGGGGGTGGGGTGGGGAGAGGAGAGAGGGGAGATGTAGTGAGGCAAGAGAGGGGTGCGGGGAAAAGGAATGGGAGGAGGAAGGAGAGCGCGACATGGCTGATTCAGAAACACCACACCCACAGGCGTCGCAAGGAAGAGTGTGGTGCGCGAACGGTGCAGCAGTAGCCAAGCGCACATCATGTGTGCACTGTGCAGGGCAGGGCAGGGCAGGGCAGGGCAGGGCAGGGCAGGGCAGGGCATGGCAGGGCAGGGCAGGGCAGAACGCGTGTAACATACCGAGCAGGCCGCAGCCAGCACCGAGTTCGATGCACGTCTTGCCGTGCACCAGGTGAGCGTGGCGCTCCAGGTACTTGCCCGCCACTATAGAGCTGTCCCACACGGCCCATGGATGGGGCACAAGGCCACGCAGAGGGGGCGGATTGGGGGGCGGGCAGAGGGTAGAGACGACACAGTGAGAGAAGAGAGGAGGTGCAGGATCCATGGGGAATCGGAGTGAGCGGTTAAGGAATCTCAATAGGTGGTTGGTGACAGGCACACTAGTCCGTGCTCGCCCGTTCTTTTCCCTGCACAGGACCTCTTTCCCTGCCACCTGCTCCACGCAACAATCCACCCCCCCTCCTCCCTTCCCCCCCCCCCTTTCCCCCACGCGCCGCCCCTCCTGGCCCCACTGCCCGCATGGCCACACGGTGACCGCACCATACCAGTGGATGCGAATCCCAGCGGTCCGAAGCGCTGCTGCGCGATTGTCACCACGCGTGCCTGCTCGCACACGCATGGGGGCGACGCGGCCGCGTCGGCGGGGGCGACGTGCGCCGCGGCGAGGGGCTCCGCGCGCTGCAGCTGCGCGGACGGCTGCGCGTGGGGGCACGCCGAGTGCAGTGCGCAGAAGGGGCGCGCGATAGTGTGCTGGTAGGGGCGGTCGAAGCGGTCGACGTCGGGCCTGCGCGCGGACCGGAGGAGCGAGGGGAGGGGAGGGCGAGGGGGCGAGGGGGCGAGGAGAGAAGGGGGCGCGGGGGCGAGAAGGGGGGAATACGGGGATGCGATGGGAGAGGCGCGGGGAGAATGCTGAAAGAGTAAGGGTTGTGAGTGAGTGACTGGATGAGGGCGATTACTGTTAGCGGATTACTGCGTCATTCCATCCGATGAGAGTCTCCCCGCACAAACCGCTACCCCGCCATCCCGCCACCCCCCACCCCCCCACCCCCCCATCCCGTCATTCCATCGTCGCATCGTTTGTGCACCAACAGCTCAGCTTCTGTCGCGTACTCCCCCCATCGGTCCGCCCCAACTCACTTGCCCTCGCGCTTCCACACCCACGACCGCAGGAACTGAGACACGTCCGACCGCCCCGCCCCGCTCCCCTCCGCGCCCCCCTCATTCCTCGCCCGTCCTTCCCCCGTCGCATGCCCTGCACCGCGCAATCTCTTCCTGACGCTTCCGCCCTCCGCTTCCGCAGCTTCCCCTACCCGCGCGGTTCTTGCGCCTTCGTGCGCCCGCTCCGCCTCTCCCCCGACAGCATCAAGCCTACCCGCTCCCCCGTTCACGGGCGCGACTCCCTTGCGACCTGCGCCGCCGTGGGACCCTACCGCCGGCGAAGCCCCATCGCTTGAGGGTACGCGACGTCGCCTGGCCGTGCGACTGTTGCGCGACGGAGTGCGACGGGCGTCAGGAGGAAGGGCAATGGCAGGCGGAGGCATTGGAAGCGATGGGTAGTAGAAGGCCGGGTTCAGTGTGATGGGCTGGAGCATCGAGGTTTAGGAGGAAATGAGGGAGGGGTCTTGATAGAAGCAGGGGTGAGATGTTAGGTTGGGTTGGGTTGGGTGAGAGTGACGGAAAGAGGCGTGTTTAGGGCGTGCATTTGCACCCTGCCTAGTGTCAAGAAGTTGGTGTCAAGAAGTTTGCGCACCCGATTGGTCCAAAAAAAACGTTCGGCCAATGCGATTGGTCAAGCTTTTTTTTTAACCAATCGCGTGCGCAAACTTCTTGACACCAACTTCTTGACACTAGGCAGGAATACGACCTAATATGTATGTAGTTTTGAGACACCTCAAAACAGACTTGTTATCACTCAGCCAAACTTGTCTTCATCCATGCAAGCAAGCTGCTTTTGACATCAGAACCTGAGCGTTGATACGGTATGTTTCTGCATTTCTTGCATTATTCAAGTAGCGAATCGTGGATTTAAAGAAGAGATCACAGGTAGTCTTGATACACCACTAGATGTACTCAGTTGAGTTGGTTGGTTCTGTAGCCCTACAGCCGAGTCTAATCTAAGAGATGAGGAGTCGCAGCAATTGGCCTGAATATTTGAAGGACTTCTCTGTCTCCTCTAAGCAATGGTCCTTCTGCTCCCTTGTCCAGTCCTGCAGGGGCAACACACACACGCACATGCACACACACGTGCACATGCTCACACACGCGTGGCCCCGCAACACGCACACCCCCACATGCACGCACACACACCACACGCATACCATTGAGATTAATGATGGCAAGAACATGAGCGGGCTCAAAAGACATAATCCATGTTTGCACAAGCCTGCCACCCCCACACATGGCAGCAGCAGAGCAGACTCACCCCCTACTCCTGTAGCCTCCACCTCCACCACATGCTTCATTTCATTCATCCCCTCTCCACCTTCTCACCTCCACATCTCGCCCCGCCTCTCCACCTGCAATGGTCTCATCCCACCACTCACACAGCCATTCACTTCCTCTCACCCCTCACCTCCGCTCTGCCACCTCATTCAGCCTCTCACCTCCGCCACCTCGTTCAGCCTCTACATTCCATGTTTCCTCCAGTCACAGCCATCCACTTCCCCTCACCCCCCTCACCTCCGCACCCCGTTCAGCTTTTCTCACCTCCGCCGTACTCTCTTCCCCCCAGTTCCCAACTTCCCCTCGCCCCTCGCCCATCGCCCCTCTCACTGACCTCCGCCACCTCGTTGAGCTTCTCTCTGACGGCCGCCAGCAGATCCGGCAGCTCGCCCTCCCACTGGTAGAACGCCATCTCCCGCCCCTCCAGCAGCATCTCCGACACCTGTGCGGTGGGGTGAGGGAGCAGGGAGGGGACGAGGGAGGAAACAAGTATGAGGGAGGGGAAGGCAGCTCACCCTCCCACTGGTCGAACACCATCTCTCGCCCCTCCAGCAGCATCTCCGACACCTGCATTGCATGTGGGGGGCATGGGGGGGTTGGGGAGCGACGAGGGGTGAGGGAGGGGGTGGGAGGAAGTGAGGGAGGAAGTGAGGGAGGAAGTGAGGGAGGGAAGAAGAGACCTCTGGGTCCCATCCCACTGGTAGAACGCCATCTCTCGCCCCTCCAGCAGCATCTCCGACACCTGTGGGGGTAGGGAGGAAGGGCGCCAGAAGACACGAGGGGTGAGGGAGGGGTTAAGGAAGAGGGCGTGCAGGGTGTGAGGGTTGGAACAAGAGAGAGCTGTATCCCACTGGTAGACCGCCATCTCTCGCCCCTCCAGCAGAATATACGACACCTATAGGGGTGACGGTTGGGCGGGCGGTGAGGGGTGAGGGAGGGGGCGAGGGAGGGGGTGAACGATAGAGAGCGAGAGAGGGCCATGCTGCGTAGAAAGGGGGTTGGGTATGAACAATGATTCTGGGTTGGAATAAAGAGCAATGGCTGACTAATGTCGCAACCAGCCTGGTCAGGCTCTTGCCTGCTCACGATATCAGCATTAAATGCACCTATGTGGTGGTCACTTGCACACTTGTGTTGTGCTTCATGCTGGAAGGCAATAAAATGTCTCTGCATCTACTAAATTATACCATAAAAATACTTTTGACTAAATCCTTTAAAACTAAACACCCGCTGGCAAAGACGGCCTCTCACCGAGAGCAGAAGAATCCACGAAACACACTACTGCAAATAACAGGGCGCATCTTCACCGCGACCCATACCCTGCCACCATCCCTAGGCCTTCCAGCAACTTCCTTCCCTTGTGGAGTTTCGCACTGCTTTCAAGTAAGCGTGAACCAACTTTGACATGTCATGCAGCAAGCCTTCAACACAAGCAACCTACCTTGCGACCAGTCATGCGCCCTCCTTACGACAAATCATGCGACCTACCTTGTGACCGATCATGCGACCTAACATGCGATCGTGCGACCCACCTTGCGACCGATCATGCGACCGCCAGCGGAGTGCGCGAAGTAGACGTTGTAGAAATGGCAGATGAAGGCGGGCGTATCGGAGCGCGCCAGCTCAGCAAGGTACTTGGCGTACGAGGACCCTGCCTCGTCGGGCGGCGGAATCTTAAAGCCCTGCGACTCAAACCATGCGAGGTCCTTTGCCAATGCGTCGCTGCGCTCCAGACCTGTGTTGAGGAACTTGCGGTCTGACAGGGGGGGGTGGGTGGGGGGGGAGGGGAGGGGCGAAGGGGGGAGGGGAGGGGCGAAGGGTGGGGGGCGAGGGGGGAGGGGGCATGGGGGGAAGGGGGAGAGGTGGGCGGCGGGATCTTAAAGCCCTGCGCCTCAAACCACGCGAGGTCCTTGGCCAACGCCTCGCCGCGCTCCAGCCCCGTGTTGAGGAACTTGCGGTCTGGCGGGGGAAGGGGGGATGGAGGAGTGAGCGGCAAGGGGCGAGCGGCGAGCGGGGAAGGGGAGGTGAGTGGCGGAAGGGAAGGCCCAGAAAAGGGACAAGGCAGAAAGGATTGAATTGCGACGGCATGCACAGGCGAGCGAGCAGCAACTCCATGAGCCGATCGGGACCGATCTGCTGCTGAAAGCCGCATAGCACGGTCGTCCGTCCGGATCAAGACCGACCGTTGACTCTAACCGCGCGGAAAACGGACCCAAACCTCGTGAATGTAACGAGGTCATGGGAGCTGTCTCGAGCGAGCTATCGCGGATTCTAACCGCGCCGCGGATTCTAACAGCTTACAGACGTGCAAGTCGCTATCGCGGACGACGGTCTCCATGGCGTCGAAGACGGCCTTGCTGTCCACGAGGAACTGCACGAGCCCCTCCTTAGACGGCTCCCACTTGGCCAGCGGCCGCTCCTTGGTCTCCTCCTCGCCCTCCTTCGCCTGATCCCTGTCGTCCGCGAGCGCATGGGAGGGAGGGGGGAGGAGCGTACTGAGCGAGAAAGCTTACAAACGGACAGGAACTGCACCAGCCCCTCCTTGGTGGGCTCCCACTGGCCAGCGGCCGCTCCTTGGTCTCCTCCTCGCTCTCCTTCGCCTGATCCCTGCCATCGCCCAGCGGGTGGACAGGGGAATAAGCGTATTAGGTTGGCGTGGCCACAGGTGCGGCGGGAAGTCGGAAGCACACGGCGGGGTACGTGGGGGCTTACTGACTGCGAGTACGCAGCTAGTGTGTAAGTGTAACAAACGAGAAGCTAATCAACCGTGCGCGGTGCCTGGTAGCCTAAGCGGGTCGCTGTCTAAATCAACCGTGCGCTAATCAACCGTGCGACCTACTTGGTGTGAAGCTTCATGGCGCGGATGCGCATCTCCTCGATGAACCCTTTCTTCTCGCCCGGCCGAAACTTCTTCGCCTCCGACGACGGCGTCTCCGGCGTCGGCACCGCCTCCACCGCCGCGCGCACCGATCCTGCTCGCACTGCGTTTGATCGCGCGAGTGCTGTGCTTCTGAAGCGAACGCGCAGTAGCAGCGGCTGGGCTGCTTCACCCGCGACGCCTGATTGCGGGCTCGATAGCCGCGCGCAGCTGGGCGGGTGAAGCGACGCGCATGTCAACATGGCAGCGGCTGACATCGTGGCTCAGACGATGCTAGATACGCGAGCAGACAATTCTAAGAAACGCTAGAATGCGATGCGACCCGACAGCGAGAAATCAGCGCTTGTGGTAAGGAGCACGGATCGCTGGACTGAAAAACGGTGGCCTGGGGAGATGGTGGTTGAAGTGACCTGTGTATGCAACGCAAACGCGACTGGTGAAGGTGCTCGCCACTGCTGAAACTAAGACGTCGAATCGGTTCAGTTGGGTTTGGTAGGCTGAAACTGGGTTTTCCTCACCACACCAAAAAAATATGTTTCTGGTGGCAGTTCAGCGAGTGCTCTCGTTATAGGAACGGCAACTCTTCCATACAGCCCCTCGGGGATTTGTCCCTTGAGATTGTACGCGGGGCGGAGTTGCACAACAATGGGGGAGGGCCTTCTCTTGTCTCGAGGGCATCGAATCCCGTTGGCAGTTCCCAGGCTCGCAGCGTGTGGGTTCTGCCATTTTCGAAACACGTGGCACTCGCTAACTGCTCCTCGAGGAGGCGTCAGCGAACGAATTTGTTCAACTTTGTAGGCCACGTACTCCAGAGAAGCAGCCTCCAATTTCTTGGAAAAGGCGAACTAAACAGTGGAGGTGTAAGGGCGTGTTCGTTTTTCCACCGTGAGCCAGAATTCGTTTTTCCACCGTGAGTCATCGGACTAATGTTCCGATGCACATGATGAACCTCGAGCTCGCCGCCATGGATTTCTTCAGGGTCTTTAATCCAGCATTTCGTGAAGCACAGTTATCAGTTGGCTTTAATAACCTCAGCTTCGGACTCGCCTTATCGCGACGAATCGATTGGTACACTTATAATGTCCATCAGGCGGACATCATACCAAGAGTTTCTCGGGATCTGCTGTTCAGGTTCTTTCGTCCATACAATCTCAAGGCTTCATTATCTGTTCTCCTGACATCAATCCACTGTGCTTTCCAAGGGTTCTCACCGCAAGCTCGTGATTGGCTACTCCTATTACACGGCGTTATCAAGGCTACTGACAAGCATCCATTGGTTATGTCGGCGACAACTCATCACCTGCACCATGAATATTGGTCCGATGAAGGGACTACGCAGCTATATTATATTGGGCTCAGTCGTCCAGCACTTCAGGCATTCCTGGCCTTTGCAAGTCCTCAGTTGCTGGATCTAACTCATCATTGCACCATGCCGCGTGCGCCTCCAAAGGAACGCGCTCCTCTGGTGCAGAAGCGCTCAGCTGCCACTTCTACTGCCTCGATGCCTGAAGACAAGGGAAAGCAAGTGGAGGATGATGAGCCGGTCACCCTGTTGCAGGGAGTTCGGGTTTATCACTGGAGGAAAATCTTGCTGCTCTTACCTCCGCGCATGACAACGACCATGATGGCGAGTTCACTGACGATGACTCGGATGATGAACTGGAGTTCGAGATTTCCAAAGACTCCGTCGCGAAGCTTCGCTACACGGCTATCCTGCTTCTCCCGCTTGTTCTGCAGCAGGAAATGGCATCGGTTATCATCACCGTGCAGATGTTGCTGAAACGCGTCTGGTCTTCTTTGCTCTCTGACGGTGCTAACACATCAGTTACCTTTCAGGACATTCACCCTGCATATGTCGCAAAGAACAAGTACAGTCGCCTTCAGTTGTCATTCCTGAAAGAAGAAGATGCAACGAGTCGCTGGAGTACCAGAAGCCGAATGGTACATCGTACCCGTTACATTGGCTGCACACCGAGAACGCGGCGTTTGCAAAAGAAAAGGCTACCAACCAGCCTGCCATTGAAGTGGTTTTTAAGGACATAACTGCGAATATTACGCCGGAAGCGGTTGAGGAGTTGTTGGTGAAGTATAAGCTGAAAGTTCGTCAAGTCACCCCGTTTCTGGAGAGTCATTGCTTCCACCGCGTCCTGCATCCGGTATCTGGAGCTGACACGGGGGTTATCAAGGGGCTGGTGGTTCCACATCCGGAAGTTAAGAAGTGGCGCTGGATACATCAAGTCAATCATCCGCTGGAGCATGGCAAGAAGCTCCTGGTTCATTACCTTATGCTTTCCTGTCAGCTCTGTGGGGGTCCGCATTATGACAAATATCATGATGCCTTCACCACTGACCGACAGCATAACATAGGGAAATGGAGTTTGAGCTTAGGTCGTGTGCATGGGATCAACGGTAACAGTGCATCCGCTTGTTCGCATGGTCCTGCTTGCCTTACCTGTTATCCGGAAACTAACCCTCTGGCCGCTTGTCGCAGCTGCTTCTCTGACTGCATCGCGTCTGGTGCGACCAATCCTGCTGGACCCTGCTATCGTCCTGATTTCCACTCGGAGCTCCAGAGAAGAGTGGATCTGTACTCAAACCTGCTGTGGGAAGGCGCACGGGAAGCTGTTTGTTGCCGCTGCAGAGCACATCACTGCTGCGCGTCATCTGCACGGTCAGGGGAAGCTGGGTGCTGTTACCCGCTTGACAAGGGAGAAGGAGAACTTGCACACAGTTCGCAAGGAGTACGGTATCTGATGGACCCAGACCTGCTTGCCCTGGGGATTGCGGTTGGATTGTCGATTGTTGCCGTTCTGTGTTTCACCTGCCTGTGGATGCGTAGAGGCGATCAAGCAGTGATTAAATGAATACACGGAACACCCTTTCGTTTGCGGGCCTCAATGTTAACGGCCTGGGTGATAGCAACAAGCGGAAACGCACGACTGACTGGTCTTACAGTGACAAAGCTGCGGATGTGATGATCCTCTCAGACACTAGAATAGCAGAGAACAATCCATACTGGTCCACCCTTAAGCCTTCCTCCCTCCTCGCCGTCACCTCGACCACTCGAGCTGGTGGAGTAGCCGTTTTTAGCCGTAGACCTGACCTCTCCTTCCATAACCCTCTAGCTCACCCCTCTGGGAGATTAGTCAAGACCGAAATCCAATGCGCAAACCTTACTCTAACACTGATCGCAACTTACCTTCCAGCGGACAAACCCATGAGACGAGCGTTCATCTGGACGGTTTTAGGCCCGATGGTTGACCTAGTTCTGCCGAGTTCCCATCTGCTTATAGTCGGGGATCTTAACATAGTGGAAAACCCGGTGCTGGACAAGACATCGAAGCAAGGCTCGACAAAGGAAAATGACCAGCTATATCAACGCTGCAACGCCTTTGACATCGCTGATGCTTTTCGAGCTCTATACCCTTTTAAGCGTGAATTTACCTTCTACTCACAGGTGCATCAGGAGAGCACGCGGATCGATCGAGCGCTGGTCTCTCGTCCCCTTCTCCCGCGCCTTGTGTCTGCTTCGCATGCGAAGCCGGAGGAACCGGTTTCGGATCACGCCTTTGCTGTCCGCGTGGCCTTCAGAGTCAAGTCCCAGCTGCAGACGGGTCCTGGCTTATGGCGCATGCACCCTTCGATGATGCACAGGCCGGGAGTTCGGAAATTAACGGAGGAAGTGGAGCGGCAAGTTGTGCAGCGGGGAGGGGGTTTTGAAGTCCTTATATCTCGCCTGAATGCCAGCCTGCGTGCATATGCCAAGGAGGAAAGCAAGCGGACCAGAGCTACGATCACTCATCTTGCATCATCGGTTGAAAAGCTGAAGCAAGCCTTCATGTGTAACCCAAAGGACCAGCTGCTAAAAGAAAGACTGAGGAAGCAGGAGCTGCAGCTCAAGGAGTATCATGCGTGCCGGAGAGAGAGAGCTCACCTGATGGCGGGGATGGCGAAGGAACTGGTCGGTGAAGTTCCCTCACCTCACCTATCGGCGATGATAAAAGTGCGGAGAGTCAAGACTCAGATTGCGGAATTAGTGATTCCAGGCGGAACGGTTGCTGAGCCGAAGCAGATCTTGGAGGCGGCGTCGGAGTATTACCGCAATCTCTTTAGTGCAGATAAGAGATCGACGATCTCTGACTGGGTTCCAGCGGCAGGAAAGAGGTTGTGGTTCTCGGATACGGACTGCCTGTAGGAGGACTGGACGGAGGAAGAGGTGAAGCGAGCCCTACGGGAGATGGCCTGCAACAAAACCCCGGGGAAAGACGGACTTCCAAAGGAGTTGTTTGAGCAGCACTGGGACGTGCTCGGGAAGCACCTCATGGAGCTGGTTAACAACTTCACTGGAACAACCACGCTTCCAACCAGCGTCAAGGATGCGGTGACCATACTCCTGCATAAAAAGGGGGCAAAGGAGCAATTGGAGAATTATCGACCAATTACTTTGCTAAATTTCAGCTACAAAGTGTTGGCGCGGGTTCTGGCGAGCAGAATCAAGAAGGTGCTGCATAAGGTGATCTCACGGGAGCAGTTTGGCTTCATACCTGGGAGGCGTGTCTCGGATGCGGTCGGGTTGGTGGCGGATGTCATCGATGCGGCAAAAAATGGCAAGGAGGACTGGTACATGTTGCTGGTGGATTTCAGGAAGGCCTTCGATTCGGTGTCCCGGGATTTCACCTTCGAGGTCCTCAAGAAGATGGGATTCCCAGAGCGCTTTGTTGGCTGGGTGAAGGGCCTGCATGAAAACACACGCACGGGTTTGTTGATTAATGGATGGCTGGGGGAAGCGGTGGATGTGGTGTCCGGAGTCAGGCAGGGTTGCCCTCTCGCTCCTTACCTGTTCCTCTGCGCGGTGGAGCCGCTAGCACAGAAAGTGGAGAAGCGGAAACTTGGCATCACGCTTACCAATTGTGTCGGGCAGCGGCTGGCTTACATTGGGTACGCAGATGACACCACTCTCCTGCTGTAGGGGAAGCAGCAGATTGATAAGGCTGAGGAGATTCTGGAGGAGTTTGAAGGGGTTTCGGGGCTGGCGACAAACAAAGGAAAGTCGGTGGTGCTCCCGCTGGGGATCAATCTTGGCAAAAAAACATGGCGCTCGGATGGCTTTAGGTGGGCTGATGCGGATGAAGCAGAGAGGCTCCTTGGCGTCTGGGTCACACCGAGCGGAAGCTGTCAACCAACATGGGATAAGGCGCTGGAGCGGATTGTAGGGAAGATGTCGCTGTGGCAGCCGAAATATCTCCCAATTAAGGCA